GCAGCACTAAGGACGTCCAACTACTGGGGTGTGGGCCTAAGCCGTTAGGCCCTAGGGAGCAGGCCTAAGCTGACAGATGGACTCCTACTGAGGAGTCCCAGACTGTAAGAGGTGCAGACCAGGCTGAGGGACCCCCTACCCCCAAGTGCACAAATTTTCATGCACCAGGCCTCTAGTCTATACTAATAAAAGGTAATATGCTAATTAGACCAGACATCCTTCCAGATGCCCTTCCAGACAAAGCCACAGAGGCAGGGGCTGAGGCAGAGGTGGTTAGGGGCAACCAGGCTAGCAGGGGAGATGAGTTAGGGAAGATCAGGCTGGCAGGAGAGGGCAGTTAGGGACAATCAGGCCGACAGGGGAGGGCAGTTAAAGGTGATCAGGCAGGCAGGCAGAGGTAGTTAGGAGCGATCAAGCAGACAGGCAGAATGCTTGGGGACAATCAGGCAGTCAGGCTGGTGAGTAGTTAGGAGCCAGCAGTCCTGGATTGTGAGAGTGATGTCTGAATGCTGGTTTAGGCTGGATCCCACAGAGGGTCTAAACTGGCATTCGGACAACCTTCAGATTGGAGAGGGTGCAGGCTGGGCTGAGGACCTCCCTCCTGCACGATTTTTGTGCACCAGACCTCTAGTATAACAATAAAAAGGAAAATCTTTAATAGGCAGTCAGAAGGAGAAAGCATTCTGAGTTAGATGTGATGACAGAGAAGCACATAGCTATAGCACTTAACAAAGTTCACACAAAGCAGGCACTTGGCACAGTCATCATTGATCAATTAACACGTTAAGCGCCCAGCCTGTTTTGTTTTCCAGACAGAAAGAATAGCGTCAGTCACCAGCGATCAACATGGCACTTAACATGTTAACATTTGCTGATTTAAAAACCCCATGGTAAATGAGCAAAGGCCATGCAGAGACCACTCACAGGCAAGCAGATTAAAAAACAAATGCTAGGAAGAAGAAGCAAGCATTTAAAAGGAATGTGAACAAATTATGCTGTGCCCACTGAATTTGTAAAGAAAAAAAAAAGTAAAATAGATTGTGAGAGGAAAAAAATGCATGAACTTTAGTAAGGAGTACAAATCCATGGGACAGTCTTTTCTGGAAAGCAATATGGCAACCATTATTAAGATCCCTAAATGGGCTCTGACCTCTCGGCCCAGGAACCCTACCCCAGGGGACTGGTGCTAAAGGAATAACCCAGCCAAAGAAACAGAATAGTAAGCAACACCAATGGGCCAAGCAGAGCAGGTGGGCTGTTCCCCTTGGTGTCTATGAACTCATTCCCGTGTCCGGCTTTTCCTTTAATCCCTGACATAATTCCTGCCCGGGACCAGCTGTGATTGACCGCGTTCCCTCGCTGCCAGGCACGGGGCCCAGCACTTCATGTGCAGCATCTCGTAAACGCTCCCCACTCCGGGCCACCTCCAGGCTGGTGCCAGGGAGGGGAACTAGAGCTGGATCTTCCACTGTAAGGGAACAGAGCGTCCCGTGGGTCCCAGCCAGGAGCCAGGTGCCGCTCCAGGGCAGCCCTGGCACACAGGAACAGCCTGGACTCTGACTTCAGCCCTTGGTGTTGGCTCAGTGGCGTGGGGTTTTGTGAAGGTCATGGCGGTGAGCAGCCCGATCAGGTGTGCATGGCAGCACCACCTCTGGTGCTGAGTTCCAGGTAGCACTTCCCTGGTTTTGTGCAGCCGGCGATGTCCCGGAGGGCAGCTTTCTGTAGGTGTTGTAGGTCAGCAGGGGCTTGGGAGCACCCGATGAGGCATCAGTATGGGGACACACTGGAGACAGCATCTGTTTTTCTCTAGTTTTCTGATCTCCCAACCTCCCTTCAGACACCCAGCCCCAGCCCCGGAGCTCCCAGCCCTCCCACCACCTGCCAGCAGGACATTAATAGTTTTGTGGTGGCCTCCGCTTGATGATGGTCTGGCTGCTGTAACTCAGACCTGCTCTGTTCCTGCCCTCTCTCACATGGTGTCCCAGCCACACTGGCTCCTCTCTGTCTTAGAGTCTCTGTACTGTCCCCTTCTGCCAGGAGCGCCTTTCCCCAGCATCCATTTGGCTGATCCTGCCCTTCAGTCAAGTCTTTGCTCCCTTATCTCCCTCCCAGGGAAAGCTACATTTGACATGGCTCCCTGCACCCTCGGCGCTCCTGACCCGCCCATCCTGATGAGGCAGCTTTTCCATAGCTCTATCGCCTCCGACCTATTATGTAAGTCACTTATTGATCGAGTATATTGTTCGTTTTATGTTTCCCTCTTGCTAGGACGTAAGCTCCTTAAGGGCTGGGGTTTTTGTTTCTTTGGGCCATTCATACCCCCGACAGGTGGCACGTGCCTGGCACAGAGTGGGCCCCGGTGAATATGTGCAGGGCTAATGAAGGAGTGGCAGTCCTGCCTCCTGGCTATACCTCAGACTGGGCACCTGCAGCGGGAAGTCTTATGGGCATTGGGTCACAGCTCGGGATGAAGAGCCTGGAGGTAATCGTGACATTGCCTGTCTGCCACCTCTGCAGAGTCTTTGGTTGATCGGGAGAAGGAGGCTTTGATTTTGCTTCTGTTTTGCCTTCTAAGCAGCATGAGCTTGTTTTCTAATTTTTAAAATGGGGATAATAACAATACACAGGAGATCATGCGCCCCCCCCCCCCGGGCTCTGGGGATGGGGGTGTGGGGAGGAATGGCAGTGTCCTGGATTGGGTAGAAGTGGGAACAATTTCACTAGCAGAACCAGGACAGGAGCCCTCACCCTGACTCTGAAGCTGGGGCCTGGCCAGGAGAGGGCCTGGGACCCGACTGGGAGTGATGTTCCCCGGGACATGGCCCAGCTCTGCCTCTGCAGTCTCTCTTCCCCCAGGAGCAGGTGGCTGGCCAGAGCGCTGAGCGGAGACTGAGGTGCTTGGCTCTGAGCAGACCTGCTTTCCCCAGGGAGGCCCAGGGCAGCTGGCCTGAGAGATGCTGGATTGTTCTCAGCCCCCACCCCACCTGCCTCCTCCCTGCAGCCCCAGCCCTACAGAAGTGCTGGATTCTCCCTGTGACTGACAAAGAGCAGACCCCCGTCCCTGGCCCCTCACCTGGGACCGCTTCGTGTCCCAGCAGTGGTCCTGGCTCAGGTACTCTCTGGCCCGGCGTTCTTCCACTTGTGCAATGGAGGGGACAGTCCTGTCCTTTCCGGATGCCAGGATGAGGGGTGACGGATGTAGGGCGTTAACAGGCATGAGGGCACTGGGTGGTGACTCACATTGCCGTGTCATTGCCATTAGGTGACCTCTGTCCCAGCACCAGTGCCCTGGAACCCGCACTCCTGGTGTGCGTGTGGACAAGGCCCCTGGGTGAAGAGAGAGGTCTGGACATAAGACTTGAGGAGCAGCACTGAACCCCAGAGACCCGCTGGGAACAGGCTGGGGAGGGTCAGAAGGGGGATGGGCTTATCCCCTTTGGGGCCTTTAGCCTGTGCAAGGCGGTGCTCAGAGGAGACACCAGCTTCCTGTCTACAGTCTCCGCCTCCCAGTGCCCACCCCCAACCCTCCACTGACATTGGGCTCTGCTGTGAGAGAGGCTGTCCGTGTCCCCATCCGTCCAGAAGCCAGGAAGCCACTGTGAGCCCTCCCCCTGTCTGACCTTCAGCCCTGCTGGCAAAGCCAAAGCTCCCTGGGAGGAGGAAGCAGAGAAGCAGATGCATGGGCTGCTCTGTGCAGGGGTGGCTCGGGCCAGGGGTCCAGTGCCTCCGCAGCCTGGCCCAGCGTGCCTCTGCCTGCTGCCACCTATCCCGCCAGGCTGCCCTCCACCCCTCACTCTCCTCTTCCTCAGCTGCACGTTCTCAGCCTGGCGGTCCCCTCACTGGTTTCTCTCCCCCTCACGGGTCTGCAGCCCAACTTCACATCTACAATGCAAACCTGACCCGGTCAGTCCCATCTCAGTTCTGCAGTCGCTGCCCTTAGTGTCACTGGCTCTTGCCCAGCCATTCGAGGCCTCCTTTGGTTGATGGCAGTGCCATTGTTTCCCACTGGCTTCTCTGGCCACAGGGACTCACGGTCTGTCCACTGAGAAGGCAGCTTTCCACATAACTTTGCTCACAGAAGTCTGTCCCTGCAGCACCCGTCTTTCCCTCTGTGTGTGCCGAGTCCCCAGCCCCAGCCTCATGAAAAGAGTGCCTTCCACACGAAGCTTCCCTGCGAGGAAGCCAGGCCTCCCTGCCCTCCCGCCTTGTCACTGCTTCACGCATAGATGGTCCACTGATAATGTGAGCACAGAGCACTGTGAACACGCCTGTCTCCCTTCAGAACAGAAAGAGAGCCCTGAAGGCAGGGACCACGGCTGCTTGGTTTCCAGCTCTCCATCGTGCGCCTGACTCTCTCAGGTGCACGTGCCTGCGCTCAGATGTAAGCCAGGCACAGTGCCAGGTCTCTGCTGCAGACATTCTGCGTAACAAGCCTCCACACTCCCAGCGCCTTGTAGCATCTCTTTCTCTTGCCCGTGGGCCTGGGGGCTGGCTGGATGGCTCTGCTTCAGGCTGCAGGTCTAGGGGTGGCCCGGGCTCTCGTGGAATAGCCCAGCCTCCAAGCCACAGGTTGGCTCCAGGTCTGTGTCATATGCCCACAACTGGGGACCAAGGCGGAAGGGGCAGTGGTTATCTGGAACAAGTTCTTCTTATGGCAAACGAGCAGGAGTGAGAGCGTAAGCAGGCAGTATTTAAAAAAAAACAAAAAAAAAAACAAAAAAAAAAAAAACCAAGGCTTATTTAAGGCCACCAGTCACACTGCATCTACTAATTTCCACTGGTCAAAGCAAGCCTCCTAGTCAACTGAGCAGGGACACCTACCCACCTACTCCAGTGAGACACACTGCAAAGTCAGAACAAAGCACAGCTCTGTTCCAGGGAGGGAGGGAAGGACCAGGGACACACGAGCCCTGCCCGAAGCCTGCCCAGCCTCTGCAGGGAGGCAGGTGTCTGCAGGGCTGTCCATGCCTCTGTCTCTCTAGACCCTCTTCTCTCAGCAGACGAGCCAACCTCCCCCAAGAAGCCCAAGAGCGTCCCGCAGCCAGAGCCCGGCGACGTGGAAGGCGAAGCCACCTCTCCCCTGCCCTCCGAGTGGACCTCCGTGAGGATCAGCCCCGGGGAGGATGTGGCCGGGCAGGACGTGCTGGCTGTGCGTGTCCTGGTCACCAGTGATGACGACAGCAGGTATGCTCAGGCTGCTGCAGGGTGAGGGAGGATGGGTTGGGAGAGGGACAGCATTCAGAAGCTGGTCTCCTCTGTGTTTACGTGCAGTAAGTATGACCTCGTCTATATTTTACAGACGAGTACAGGGCTACACTCCTGTACTCGTCTGTAAAATGAGGACAATCTTAGCACCTGTCTCATCGGGAGTTGTCAGATCAAAGAATTAATATGTAAATCACGTAGAGCAGCTCAAACTAGCTCAAGTGACAAAGGCAACCACGTTGGTCCATCTGATGGAGAAGGGGAGGTTGGAGCCAGGGACCAAGAGCTTCTCTGCCCATTGGGTACAGCATCCACTGAGAAGCCATCTCCATGGTGGGCCTCCTGGCTAGGCCTCTGCAGTGGGCACCACCCACGTCGCAGGCCCACCACGGGGCTAACTGGTGAACAGGACTGGGAGGCCATGACCCGTGGGCTTGTGCAGTCCGGTGGATAGACAATCTAGCAAAGCCTGCAGATGGATGAGGGGCAGTGAGCTAACGAGAAGAAGCACCCTGGGTCTCCATATAGACAGTAAATACATCTATTGCCTAACGTGTCACTGCCCAAAGGGCTTCACTCCTGCACTCTCTCACCCTGGGACCTGCCTGGGCTGTCCTCCTTCTGCAGACACCTGCTTCCGCTCCTCTGCCATTTGACTTCCTGCTGGTCGTGTAAGACCCAGGTTCCATACAGCCACTTCCCACCCCAGGTAGTCCTTCCCATCCCCCACCCATTCCCGGGGAGCAAGCAGTAGTCCGTGTCTGAAGGTTTAGGACAAGCTCATTTTGCCCAGAGAGCTTAGCAGCATGCCCAGGATGGATGAGGGTGAGGGGACCAGCCTCCACACCAGGACTTCACTGCACATTGGCTGGGCTTCTCCTCCTGCTCGGACCCACACCCGTGTCTGAGTCCATGGCTAAGGCTGCCATGAAGCAGCACAGCCTGGGTAGCTCAGATGACCAAGACTTACTCTCTCCGTTCCAGAGGCTGGGAATCCAAGGTCCAGATGTTGGCAGGGTTGGCTCCTTCCGAGGGTGTGGGAGGGACCCAGGCTCTTCTCCTTAGTTCATATGCGGATGATGATCCTGTTCTGGGGACATTTTCCTACCACGCCTCTCTGGGTCCTAATGTCCTCCTCTTGGAAAGGACACCAATCCCATTGCATTAAGACCTAGCCTAATGTCCTCATGTTAACTTAATTACCTTTGTAGAGACCCTACCTCTAAATGCAGTCATGTTCCGTGCTAAGGGTTAGATGGCCTCTCGGTGGATGCTGTACCCAATGTGCAGCTCTGGGTCCCCGGTACTTAGTATGAATTTTGGGGAGCACAGTGCGGCCCATAACAAAGCCTGAGGCTGGAGCTGGGTACAGAGAAAACTAACCATCCCTGCCACACACACACCCTAGAACCCATGGTCTGCTGGAGGCAGTGGTGGGCAGGGCACGATGTGGGTTTGGGGGTGACTGGCAGGGCTCCCCAATCACCCGCTCTCTCTCCCCTCCCCCAGCTCTGATGCGGAGTTGAACTGCAGCAGCCACAGCAGCGAGGCCTCCAGCATGGAGCCCTGTGAGGAGAGATCCCAGCAGCCGGACCCCCCAACCCCGCTGGAACCCCTCAGCCGCCACAGCTCCCTGAGGGAGCCCCTCAGCGGCCACAGCTCCCTGAGCGAGCCCCGAGCTCTGCATGGTGAGCAGAGAGCCTGCCTGCCCAGGGACAGGCTTGCTGGGTCCCAGGACGGAGAAGGAGCAGAGAGCCCCACAGCCAGTTTTACCTGTGGAGGAGCCTGAGACAGGAGAGACCCACAGGCTCGGAGGCAGTGGGGCTGGGACTTTGGGGGGCTGGGGTACACGTGCAGGTGACCCAGGCCCACCTCCTTCATCATAGGAATCTCACATAGGAAGGTGCAGGGGCCCAGCTGTCTCTGTGTGTCACAGGCAGCCAGAGATAGGAGGCCTGGGCCCTCTTGCCTGCAGTAGTCTCCTTCTGCCTCCTTTGCATCTCCTTGGGGGTCCCCCAAGGAAGAGAGGTGGGCTCTGTGCAGCTACTTGGGGCCAGCACAAGGCCAGGGCCATGCTGGGACTTGTGGCACACAGCAAAACTACCTCTATAAGAATAGAGGCACTTTCATTGAGTGCCTGGAAGGCAAGGGTCTTCCCATACAGGGCCCCACTCACCCTCAGATGGCCCTGAGTTAATGTGAAGCCCTGTGTCCAGCTGAGCAAATGGCCTGACCACCTCCTGAGGTCTCCCAGGTAGTGAGCAGTGCAGCCCCAAGAAGAAGTTGGCCTTAGAAGCCCAGGGTGTTGCAATAAAGGTGGCCTGGAATGAGTGGTTTGACTCCTCTGCCAGCAGCAAAGGGAGTCCTCTGGGTGGAAAGAACAGGTGAATAGAAACTTGCCACCCGAAGGACCAATGGCTTTGGTGGCCCTGGGAGAACGGGAACTCTATTTGCCCTGTACTGCCCTCTGGTGGCTGCAAGCAGAATTGACACTGGAACCTAGAAATATTCTCCTAGGTAGGGATGGTTTTCCCAGGAATCACTGTGAAAGTGGTGGATCAGAAAGACTGAAGCTGAGGCCACAGTCCTGTAAACTCTGAGGTTACCCTCCCATGTGAGCTTGTTTCTAAAAAGGACACATTTGCTAAGTACCCTTTGTGGTGCTGTCCAGAAAGGCTTAGCCCCTGCTGAGCAGCAAGTGCTGTGCTCTGCCCAGCTGGGTGCAGCCTGCCTCTGTCTGGGTACTGCCTGGCCTAGGTCAGCCCCCGTGTCTCCCTGGGCTCCAGCCTCCTCATCAAAAAATACAAAGCCTGCCCTTGCTGGTTTGGCTCAGTGGATACATCGTCGGCCTGCGGACTGAAAGATCCCAGGTTTAATTCTGGCCAAGGGCACATGCCCGAGTTGCGGGCTCAATCCCCAGTAGGGGGTATGCAGGAGGCATTAGATCAATGATTCTCATCATTGATGATTCTATCTCTCGCTCCCTCTTCCTTCCTCTCTGAAATCAATAAAGAAATATATTAAGAAAAAGGTTACATGGACACGGGAATTACAAGAATTTTTCTCTCAAAAAAACAAACAAACAAACAACAACAAAAATGAACCCTGCTTGCCTTTCCCTCTTTTCCTCCATTTTTCCTTTCTCCTCAGTTACCAAGTGATTTTAGCCAACCTACCAGAAAGATGTAACACAAAACTGTCTGTTTCTATACATGAGAGATAAAGCCTCGAGATCCGGGTTAACAAAACCAGATGAGGGGGTCGAGACCCCAGAGAGGAAGATCATGGTCCTAAACAGTTGCTCTCATGGAATCATGAATTTGATTCTGAATTTCCTGGCTGCACGAGTTAAAAAGGAAATAGATAATTTTTATTCTCATTGTTCACGAGGGGAAAAAAATATATTGGTTCGCAGCAGTAGCGGGTCTCAGAGCAGGTACTACTTTCTCTAATGCTTCACTCTTTAGAAATTTCCCAGCTCATATCAAATAGATGATCCCGAGAGAGGCATTAGACCATGTCTTAAGCAATGGCTCTGCAAAACAGGCAGCCACAGTATTCTCGAGGCTATTTCACTCCGCCTCCCTGATGGACAGGTGAAGGCACAGCTCAGCAAGAGCGATTCTCCCCTGGGAGTGGTTGGGAGAACAAGGCAGTGTGGCCAAAGCATTTTGTTTCTGATAGCCCCATTTCATGCCAGGATAAAGAATAGAACGACAGAAAAGTGGCTAGCCTGCATGACTTTCAAGCAATCCTCTGTCAATTTCGTCTCCATCCACCCTGGTTTTGATCGTTGCTAGGCAAACCACATTGGCACGTGATTTGTGTTGCTGGTTGTGGCGAGTCTATCGCTTTTCCAGATATTGTAGCATCGACATCGTGTGGTGGGTGTTGAGGGAGCTTTATTCATCCCAACCTCACCTGCGTATGTGGTTCAGAGGCAAGCCAAGGAAACGCTGGACAAGACCAGGCGAAGCTTTAAAAAGAATCGTGGGGTGTACACCACACTGCTCATAGCACATTATTCACCATCGCCAAAAGGAAGAAGCGGCCCCACGGTCCATCCGCAGGTGAAGGGAGAAACCAAGTGTGCTATCGCCACTTTGAAATGGCACCCAGCCTGAATACTGTGCAGCAACAGGAAGGAATACTGAAGTCATTACACTAAGTGAAAGAAGCCAGACACAGAAAGACAAGTATTGCATGAGTTACACTGCTAGGAGGTGCCAAGACTAGTCAAATTCATAGGCAGAAAGTAGAATGGTGCCTGCCAGGGGCCGGGGAAGAGGATGGGTGGGGAATTGTTGTGTAAGGGTAAAAGGCTGCAGTTTGGGGTGAGGAACAAGTTCTGGAGATGGGTGGTGGGGATGGTCGCACAACAGTATGCATGTCTTTAACGCCACTGAACTCCACACTTAAAGTTGACAAAAATGACAGTGTACCCGGATTATTATCATTGTTCATCTAAAAACACAAAACATAATCACTTTAAAGTACCTTGGCAGGGTATGGAGTGTAGCTATTCTATAATAGCTTTATGATCCTGATGATTTAAAAAAAAAAAAAAAAAAGATAATGTTGGATCTTCCAGGTTACAGTCACAATATTAAGATCAGTATTTAAAAGTGGAAAAGCATTAAAATATGAAGGACAAAATAATGGCAAACAGGGTTGTTGTATGTGGTGTACACTTTACCACAAATCGGGACACCCTCAGCTCCCCAAGGAACCCACTGCCACCTCGGGGTTCTGGCCTGGAGCACACGCCAGAGGATGGTTTGCAATGGAACTTAAGCCCCCCATTATCGAGGCCGTAGAAAACGCTCAGTGCTGTTGTCCTAAAACCGTGGTCGGCAAACTGCGGCTCGCAAGCCACATGCGGCTCTTTGGCCCCTTGAGTGTGGCTCTTCCACAAAATACCACGGCCTGGGCAAGTCTATTTTGAGGAAGTGATGTTAGAAGAAGTTTAAGTTTAAAAAATTTGGCTCTTCAAAGAAATTTCAGTGGTTGTACTTTTGGTAGTTGGCTCTGTGGACTAATGAGTTTGCCGACCACCGGCCTAAGACACCTGGTGTTAGTAGTGCTCACAAATCTGGTTTCAAAGGCACATTTCTGCCCTCCCACCTCTGGAGGTTGAGGTTCAGTGGGTCTAGAGTGGGGTCCCGTGTCTGCATTTTATGTCAGCGCCCCAGATGCTCCCACGCGGGAGGGCCGAGCCCAACCCATGGAGCCACTGAGCCACACGGTCAGGCTCCTCTGTTTCTTGAGTGAGCTGACTGGGAGGTTGATGCTGGTCAGCAGGACGTGGCTGTGCCAGAGGAAACTCCTTGTGGGGAGACTCCCAGCCAGGGAAACGCTGACCGGCACTTGGTGAAAGGAAGTGGACCCAGGCTGCAGGCAGACTGTTCATCCTACGAAGGGGAGATGGGGAGATTGCACCCCGTGCCTGCCCACACAGATCCCCCTCAGACCCACGGGTGTGGTTTGAGAATAGCCCTATGGGATGGGGGCCCGCCATTCGGAGGCACAGGCTCACAGGGTCTCCAAGGGGAGCAGGGTGGGAGGGTACCCAGGACCAGAGGGGCTGTGCTGAGGGAAGGAAGCCCCCAGGCAGCGGTTGACGCCTGTGCTGTGCAGCCTGGCTAGTGTGAGTGGTCACTCAGCTCAGCACCGGCAGGAAGTGTGAGTAAAATCCAGGACTTCACACAGAGAGACCGGGCTTTGGGCTCAGAGAGGCCTGCATTCGCTCCTTCCCCATACTCCTCATGAGCCCCATCACTCCCACGGCCTTTCTTCCATGCCTCCTGGACCCACCTGTGTGTGCATTCAGGCAGGCATCACCCCATCCTTTCTCTCAAGGCTGGGATGGGACTGCCCCTGGGACCTGGAGCCCGAGGCCACATCTGTGGGCCAGCCCGTGTGGGATTTCTCTTCTGCAGGTGATGGTCATTGTGCTCAGCTAATCCTCAAGGCCCAGCTGGGCGGAGGGTCCTCGGAGCACCATCCACAGCCTCCTGAAGTGTTTCCATTGGAACCAAGGCCAAGAGGACCTTCATGGCAATGGATTGCCAGAAGTTCCGTTAGAATTACCCCCCAGAGGGTTCGCAGGGCTGTGAGGGGAAGGGGGAGTGGACAGAGCTCCCGCAGCTTCCAGGTTGCATTGCTGTGAGACTTCAGCTCTGAGGAGCTGCTTTGCTAAAAACAAACGCACATACGTGTGTGTATACAGTATGTGTGTATGTGTATACATGTAGGCATGCAAACATGTACACATATGTATGCTTGTTAATGATGGGCCATTTAGAACGATGGCTCACAATTTGAGGCATTTTCTAAAAGGTGGCAGGACTGTCCCATAGCAGCGTCTCCATAAATATTTGATGAATGAGTGAATGGGTGTGTGTGCTGGGTCAGGAGGGTACAGTCAATTATGATTATTAGCCAATTCACTTTTGGTAAATGGCCATAGAAGAACCCCCCCCCCCTTTTGTTTACATGTTTAACAGACTCTTCCTTCCTCCCTACCCTCCTTGCCTTGCTTTTCCCCACTACAGCTCTGCAGCGGACCAACAGCCTCCAGTCCCCAAGTCTCAGCAAATACCAGAGCTGGAGAAGAACGTGCCCTCCAAGTGAGTCATGGGCTCTCTGGGGCTGGGAGGGGGTGAGGGGGGTTGAGAATTCTCTGATTGATTCTCAGGAGCAGCTGTCCTCATTCCCTACACGACCTCTGACCTGGCCTCCTGGATATGAGGGGCAAGGACAGAAATCGAAGGTTGACCCTATTTCCACTGATGACTTGAGGAAGCATTTCCTGAGGGATTTGGGACCCCTTTCCCATAGACTCCCTGTTGTGGGGTTGAGCCCTGGGTTCAAAATAAGACCACCAGAGGCTGATGATTGGTTTAAAAAAAGCAGGCAAGCATTTATTGAACTGGCCAGGATGGCTGTGAGAGCATGACACACAGGTGGCCACACTCGCAACCACACTGTTTCAGGTGTAGGCAGTCCTTTTAAAGGTCCAAACCACAAGAATTTTCTTTTGTTCTAAATTCTAAATTCTAAAGGCTGGGAATGGCCCACAGGGCCATTCCCAGCCACATTCTGCTAGATATTGGAATGTGGCCCTATCTTGCGATAGCAGATAGTACAGAAGCAGACCTGCACGGTTAGTCTCTAAAGGTTATCTACAGTTTCTACTCCTGAAGCTACTGAGTCCGTGGGAATCAATTTCCTGTGGTCCTGGTCCACAGGCACAGGAAAACTGCCTTAGCCTCCAGGTCTCAATCTGGAAGCTGAGGCAACTACCTATTGTTTAAGCAAGTAAGCGAGTGCCGAAGCCAGAATAGCAGGGTTAAAATTCAAACAGCAGTTTTTACCCAAGTATGGTTGCTACCATATTTCACTCCCCAGTCCAGAGTCACAGAGCCAGAGGACTCAGTCACACTTGGAAGGGGCCTTATGACATCAGCTCAAACTTTTTGAAACAAGGAAGAGGACACAGAGGCCCAGGGTCACCATATGTTTTGACTCGGCGCCCTGGAGTTGGGCTGGGGGCATCAGCTTAAGTTCATGCAGTCAGAGGCAATACAATGAGGGAAGCCATGCATACACACACACCCTGTCTTTTTTTTTTTTTTTTTTTTTTTTTTGAGCAGGCCCTGGTCCTCGCATCCCAGGGAAGAGTAGGGTGGGCAGGGACCAGGGCCTGTGGTGGATGCCAAGGCAGCAGACTCCCACTAGGAGGCGCAGGTACCACATACAATTGCACAGCATCCCAGGGCTGCAGCTATTACAGAACTGCAATTTCCTCTCCGATCCGGAGAAAGGGGCAGGAACTCTTCTGATTCCAAGTTCATCCCTGCTTCCCACCTCTTCCTGCCCTGACACACCCTTGCTGGGCCTTGCTCTAGTAGAGATGGAACCTGGAAAGCCTTGGATTAGACAAGAGTTTCTAAAAATGAAGCATTGCTGTAGTTGGAACATAGTGCTCCTTCTGAGTCAGTGCCGACTCCTGGCCAGTGAGTCATTCTCCCGGCAGCCCCCAGCCCTGCAGCCTCTCCCTCGGGTCAGGCTGGGACATGGGTGCCGCTGGATCTGGGTCAGGGCTGCACACCTGGGTGGGGCACTTCACCTGGGATGACCCAAAGTAACTCTTGAGTCACTCCACAGCCCCAGGCAAGTGAGTGTGAGGGGAAGGAGCCAGTTAATGTTTAGGGAAGCCCTGGCCCGGGCCTTTTCCACAGGCATCGCATCTACTCCCCCACCACAACCCCTCTCTGGCGTGGGACTTCTGCCTCTATTGTGGGCCTGTTTGAGTGAAGATTCCATCCCAGTGCTTCCCGTCTACTGTACTGAGTGCCCCCAGTGAAGGGGTTATCCTGAGAGCTGGGAGTCTGGTGGGGGCCCTCCCAGCAGGGCCAAGCTGCTGAAGGAGGCACAGCCTGGAGACCTCAGCCCTGTCTTTTGTAATCCCAGTAATAGCAGGTCTGGGTAATGCTGATATGAGAGCAGGCCTAGAGTTCAAATCATTTCTGTGGGCCTAGTGCTTAGCATGAGCCTGGCTCAAAGGAGGCACCAAGTCTTCCTTGAATGAATGAATGAACTTATGAAGAGTGAACAAATGAATGACCAAACCAGAGAACAAGCAGGCAGGCAGGACCAAGGGCAGGAACAAATGAAACACATGGGTTTAGGCCTGTTCAGGCTGCCACGCCTAGAGGGCGCTCCAAGACTTTGGGAGGATTTGAGCCAAACCTGAGTTTAAAATTCTGGGAAGCAGCACCCTGCAGTCCCAGTCTTTTTAAAAATCCCCAGAGCCAAAAGCCACTAGAGCTATCTTTTAGGTCATTTTCATTTTGCCCAGGAGGAAACACCAACGGGCAAGGCTGGTTCTATAGGAGGGAGCATTCACTGCCCCGGAAAGGCTGGTTCTGTGTGCTCGCCAGCTGGCCATATTCGCCAGAATGACCACTGGGATCAAGGGGAAAGGTCATCAATGCCAGAGGGCCCAGAGGCGAGGCACTGGTCCAAGCGGGAGGTGGGGCTGCAATCCAGGCTCATCAACCCCCTTTGCAAAGGAGCTGAGGCCCCTGCACAGGGCAGGGCAGCCCTGCCTGGGCCATGCCAGGTGTTCATGAGAAGCAAGGCTCAGCAGGAAGGATCTGAGCTGATGAGGAGAGTTACGGGGTCCGTGAGAGTGTGCAGCCCCCTCTGGGATAGGTTAGCAGTTCAGCGGTGTTCTTATCAGACACCACCCATGTGCACGGGGAGAGGGATGGGATTCCTAGTTCTGTGTGATGTTTGCCTCCTGCACTAGGCACCTCTTTTTATCTCATTTTATTCCTTCCGCCTCCCCTGACACAGCAATAGATTTCTGGAGGAAACCGAGGGTTTTAAGAGACTTGCTCAGCGACAGGCAGCTGGTGTGGATGTAAAGGAGGTGGGGCTCCAGGCTCCCCTTTGCCGTTTTCTGAGGGAGCCCCAAGACACCAGCCCCCTGGAGCAGTGTATTCCCTGTCACCTCCAGCTCTGCTCTGGCTTCAACCCCTGCCCCCCAGGCAGCAGCTGGAATGGCCGGTGCTTTGTTAACTCCACCTTGTCTAGCCCTCCCCAGCCCTCCCCATGCTCTCCTGCAGACAGTGCCTGAGGCACGCGTGCAGTGAGAGACCCCACTTGCTGGGATGAGGGTGGGGATTAGAGGGGAAAAAAGAGGGAGCAGCTCCCAGGTCATGACCTTTTGAACCCCAAGCTTTCTCAACAGCCAAACCCAGTTGCCCCTGGCTCTGTGTCAGAAGGTGCCGGGAGAGCTCCCCACGGGAACAAAAGCCAGTGTGTTGAGCCGAGGGGACGCTGAGACAAGTTTGGGAGTTGGACTCAGGAGGTGGCCGAGGGAGGAGAGTGAGGGGGCGAGGAAGAGGAGGAGAAGGAATTTGGCAGGAATTTGGCAAGCGGAGCCCAGGAAACAAGGCAACAACTGACTCACAGCTTTTGCCTTTTTAGGCTCGAACCATCTGTGGGCTGGGATGGAGGTCCGTGGGCCGAGGTGGGGGGCTGGGTAAGAGGCCAGTGGCGGCCTCCCCCCCTCCTCTCCCCCCCCCCCCCCCCCCCCCGCACAGCTCCCGGCAGCTGGGGGTCTCTCTCCCCAGCAGCTCCTTCCTGCCTCCTCAGCTCTGTTCCCCCAAGTGACCTTTGCCCTGATGCTTCTGGGGCTTCCCTTTGGGCACTCGCTGGCCACGCGTGTGGGCTGGCACCTTCTCGGCACCCGGGCTTGGGGTGCGACTCTGACAGGCTTGCAGTTAGTTGCGTGTGAGGAGAGCAGAGGGGATGCTGAGCCCCCTGTGTGGTCCGCTGTGACAATGGTCTTAAAGGAACGCTTCCTCGCTCAGGACTTGGGTTCGGCCTAGTCTGGGCGGTCCCAGAGGAGGAGCCTCTTCCCCAAAACTTTGGGGACAGCGAGGCCGGGGGACTGTGCTGAGTTAGGAAGCGAGCTGAAGTGGAAGTCTGGACACCCGGAGGGTCAGCAGGAGCCCACAGGAGTGGGTAGTGGAGACAGTGGTCCTGGGAGGAGGGTTCGAGGAAGAGCTGGCCCGGCCCCCAGGTCAGGGGCTGAGTGGGGAAGTCAGAAACAGAGTACAGATTTTTCTAAGCCCCTTTGAGGGCAGATTACTGAGATGGCTCAATATGGAAACAGAATGCTTGCAGTTCTAGGGTGTTTGTGTGTGAGAGAGTGTGTGTGAGTATATGTGTTTGTGTGTGTGTGTGTGTGTGAGTGTGCGTGCATGTGTGTGGGGGTGAGTGTGTGTGTACGCGCACGTGTGAGCCTGTGTGCACTCACGAGAGAAGGTGAGAGGGAACGGGATTGACCTCACAGGCCACAGCTGTCAGATTCTGCTGTCCAGTCCTAATTGACGTCAGCTCCCAGTTCAGAGTTAGGCTGGGGCTGGGCTGCACTCCTTCCTCCTGTTACTCTGAGGTGTTCCCTGCAAGGACCTCTCCCTGACCAACGGGCTTGGCACGAACTCACTCCACGTGCTTCCAATGAGCCGATGCTCAGATAACCGCCTTCCCTGTGTCTCTTAAACCTCGGTCTAACCATGTCCTCCGAGAGCCGCCGCCGGCGCAGGGGGAGAGAGAGCGCTTCATTGGCAGTGGCCCTGCAGGCCTGTGCCCAGACGATGGGCCACAGTGAGTGGGCAGAGGCTTCGGGCCATTTGTTGACTGAGCCCCGGCCTCCAGCCATGTGGCGTAGGGGAACCTTAGCTGCTGTGCCCCTTTCTAAGAAACACACAGGCTTCCTGTCTCATTTCGAGGGAGTGTTCTTACGTGGATGGGAAGCACACGGTTCTTAGGCTCCCCTCCTGGAAACCCCTTCTCCAAGGCGCTGTCACTTCTACCCCCGTCCCTCCAAGCCCCAGTCCGGGGCATCAGGGCCCAGATCATCCCTGACGTCCTCTCCTCCGTCTGCATTTGCAGCGGTGGGGCGGTGTCCAGCCTCCTCTGTCCACGAGGACATGAGGCCGCAGCCCCTGTAACAGACAGCGCGTTCCTTCCTCCTAGGTTCCACGCCGGTGAGCTACACAAGAATTGTGCCGCCTCTACAGGACGCGTCCCCTTCCGCTTCTGCTTCCTCCTTGTCTTCTGCCTCCTCCTCCCCCGCGTCCTCCGCAGACTGTGTCCCAGGCTATGTTCTGAGGGGTCCCCCCTCACCTCAGGTAAGGAGCCTGAGCTGCCCCTTCTCCTCCCACTTCCACACTGAGCGCCTTCAGGGCACCTGCACCCCGAGCCAGGCCCCTCCCCAGTCCCATCCATAGAAGCTCGCCAGCTGCTTCTCAGCCACCCCCTCACACACACACACACACACCCCACCCTGGGCACAGCCACTGGCCTGCTCACTCAGCAAGCCTTACGGGGTGTGGGCCCGAGCTGGGCTGTGAGGCAGAGATGCTAGGACACATGCTGGGCCCTGGAGGCCCCCCAGGTGCTGAGGAGCCAGCAGCTGCAGGGGCAGGCATAGCCCCTAGGGTTCCCTGGGGGAGGAGCTGAGAACCTTGGAGGCAGCATTTCCCTGGACTCGAAAATGATGTCACCAAAATCACAGGTTTGGACTCATTCCTTCGCCAGGAGTCTGTCCGTCTGTCAGGCCTCTTGACCTGCCAGGCCCGCTCCAGGCCCTGGGGACGAGAGAGCACGGGACAGCCAGAGCTCTCAGCAGGGCAGGCACAGTCCTCCTTAGCACCCCCTCCCCCCTTGGTGGTCTCCCTTTGCCAAGGGCTCCAGCCCTGCCTGTTGGAAACGGCCCCTTTCCCAGCCCCCCTGGGCAGTCCTCAGGCTTAGAGAAGGCACTGGAAGGTCCTCACGGCCATCCTGCCCCACGGCCACCCCAGAAGGTTAGGTCTCCCCTTCCTTCAGGAGGCGCCACGCTGAGGAAAAAGCCTTGGTTTCGGGAACACACCTGTGGGTGGAAGGTGCCCGTTAGTATGGACATGACTGAGCAAGCCATGGGGCACCCTGCCCCTCTGTGCCCCACCGCCCTCCCATCATGGGCTCAGGAGCCGGTCAATGCCCACACCTCTCCATTGGCTTCCTACCCACCTGACCCAAGACCCAGAAATGCCTTTGGCCCATGCTGACCCAGGGCCCCCTGGCAGACCCCAGCAGGCCCCGGATAGCCATCTGAGCCAAGAGCTGCCCTCGGAAATCAGCCATTCCAGGCAGAATCCTTTCCCACTGGAGATGGGGAGGGAGGGGGCCCTCGCCTGAGGTGTGCCTTCCTTCCCCATCTACACACATGCTGGCAATCTTTGGCATCACGGCTGTGTTTTGCCCCGCAGGCCTCAAGAGCTCATTGCAGTCCTTCCACCCCGATCGTTCTGAGACAAGCCAGTGCCCAGGCAGCACCCAGCGAAATCCCTCTCTACCTGCCGCACGGCCAGGTGCTGGGGCGGCCAGAGCTCTGCCTGGTGAGGCCGGGGGGAGAGGGCCTCGCCAGCCCCAGGCCCCCCAGCCCTGCAGCGGTGGCTTCCGATGGCTCTCAGGACGCCAGCGGCATCCACAGAGGCCCACACCCCATTGGAGGGCAGGGCAGGTGCTCGCCAGACCAGGAGCTGTCTCCTAGGGCTGCGGAGGGCTCGGGACAAGGGCATCCGGACTCCCAGACCCGGACGGGAGAGGACGGTGGGTCCGGGCCGGCCGAGGGGAAGAAGCTGGGCTTGAAGAAGCTGGCCCTCACCCAGGAGCAGAAGAGCCAGCTGCTGGATTGGAATGACCTCCACCCCCAGAGCTCGCACCTGGACGCTGGGCCGCAGCCTTCCCAGAACGGTGCCGAGCCTGGCAGAGGCGGCCGTGTGCTGAAGCCAGTCCGCCCCTTGGTGCTCCCGGGGAGAGAGAGCCTGCCCGCTCAGGCAGAGGCTCCGGAGAAGAGGGGGACCCCCGCTGGAAGGACTTCAGGGGAGCAAAGCGTGGCTCCACCCAAGTCCCCGCTGAGACTCATTGCCAATGCCTTCCGAAGGTCCTTCCAGGCCCTCTCCCACCCGGAAGGCGGGAGGAAGGCTTTGCCAGCCATCCAGCCGCAAGCTTGCACGCGCTCCTTCAGCCTCCGGAAACCCAGCGGCCACAAAGACTGGGACCAGCCGTCCCCCGGGAGAGACATGGCCAGCAGGGCCTCGGCCTTCTTCTCCCTGGGCACCCCACCGGTCAGGGCCGCCCAGCCCCCCACCCCTGGCCTTCCCGATCCTGCCCTCCGCACCCACAGCTTGCCCAGACGGACCTCCAAGAGGTTCCCTGCGTTGGCATCCCCACCCTGCAGCAAGATGGACGATGTCCCCAAACTTCTGGAGAAAGTGAGCTTGCAAGAGACCTTTCCAGATGCTTCCAGGAGTCCAAAGAGAAAAATCTTCTCCTCCCTCAGACTCAAAGACAGATCGTCAGAGAGTTCTCTCCAAGAATTCAGGCTAAGAAAGGACTTCCGTGACATCTTCAGCATCCCCAAGGGGAAGGTGCAGCCTGTGGACAGTGCGCAGCTGGGGCAGAGGGCCGCCCCTCCTTCTCCAGAGCGAGATGCAAGTAAGTGGCCCTTTCCCAGCACAGGTCCACGGCTCATGCCGGGCAGTTAGTTATCGTTACTGGGTTCAGAAACACCAGCTTTTACCTCGTGTTGCTCCTCAGATTAAAGTCTGACAAAAGTGGGAAACTGGAATTTGAAGGAAAAAAAAAAGTGAAACAGTTCAATTTGAAATTATGTTACAGAAAGTTTTGAAAGAGAGAGTTAACCATCAGTTCACTTTCCCCTTATTGTCCACATATGAATATTTTTTACTAAGTTGGACATAAAATTTGGTGCCTTTGTAAATCAACATTATGTTATAGGTACTAAGCCAATTGCCTCATCGTCTACATAAATGTGATTTAGGGGCTATAAAATATTCTATCTAGTGGCTATGTTACTTAATGAACTGATTCTTTATGGTTTAACGTATAGACACATGTGTATGTATAAATTATATATATATTTATATTTTATATATGGTCTTGGGTGGACATTTTTATGCATATAGCTTTTTCTTTCATTTGAATTATTTTTTTAGGATAGGTTCCAAGAAATGGGATTTTTGGATGAAAATGTGAATACTTTTAAGATTCTCCGCTTACACTGACAAATTGCTCTTTAAAAGAGAACCTATGGGTAAAGGATGCATGGGATCTCTCTGTGTTATTTCTTACAATTGTGGGTTGTAAATTTCAATTAAAACATGGGAAAGGTACCAACATATATTCTACCACCAATGTATGAAAGTACCTTTTCACCACACTCTGCATCAAGTATTATATATTTTAAATACTGCTATTTCACTGGTCCAAAAATGGTGCCTCAAAATACTATTGAATATAAACTTTAACTGAAAAATTATTTTCTTAATGGTGCCTTTTAAACTTGTATTTCTTCTTATCACTAGTTTAAACATGTTTGGTTACCAATTGAACCTTAGGCTTTTTAGATTTAAATCTGTTTATAATTTTTCAAAGTATAAAATTAATACATTAAATAATCTGAATAATTAAACAGTATAGGAATATCTTAAAAACAAAACCAGGAACATATTATTTCATCCCCTCTTCCTCACCAAAGTTTTGGTATATATCTTTAGAGCCAGTTTAAAGAGTCACGTGGTTTCTGTTGTTGTTGTTGATATTTGTTTGATTGCTTTAAACAAACTGATTCTACTATTCCTGTTGTTGAGCAACTTTATTTTTCTTTATTTTTTTGATGTTTTATTTTCTTATTTAACTCTTATTTGGGAACTTAGGTTTTCAAGCAAAAAAATATTTCGCTCGTGTAGTGCCTTAGTCAAAAAGTGTGTTTCCAAAAAATGCACTTTGAATAATTATAAAGTCATTTCATTTTAAAATTGAGCTAGCAGCTATTAAAGTGTGTACATTTTTGATAACCCTGTAGATTAACAAGAGAGTTTATTTTCAGCCATGCTCAGATGTAAGCATAGATAGGCTGAAATATAACTGCTCCCTTTTATCCCATCATAAACTTTAATGTGCTGTGCATTTTTGTGTAGATAATACACAAGATTCACATGGTTCAAAATAGCAGGCACAGAATGTCCTATCTCTCTTCCCTGTCCTGGAGCCATCAGGTCCTACCCCTGGTGACAGATGCTATTATCAGGCTCTTGGGCTTCCTTTCAGACAGAATTTATGCACACACAAACAAATGTACATATTATATTCTCCCCCACCCCCACCCCTCAAAGAATAGCATGCTAGGACATTGTACACACTTTTTTTTTTTTTTTTTTTTTGCACTTTTGGTTTTATTTTGGAGGTCATTTCATATCCTAATATATAAAAAGCCAGGGGCCGTCATGACCAAAACAACCAGATGGACAATCGAACAACAGGCTGTGTGTGGCGACAAGGCCAGCAGGGGGGTTAGTGAGGGACGACCAAACAACTGAACAGCACGCTGCATGGGGTGACCAGGCTGGCAAAGGGGGAGAGTTAGGGGTGATCAGGCAGGCAGACAGGTGATTAGGAGCCAGTGGTCCCAGATTGTGAGAGGGATGTCCGACTGATGGGGATCAGGCCTAAACCAACAGTCAGACATCCCCCAAGGAGTCCCAGATTGGAGAGGTTGCAGGCTGAGCTAAGAGGACCCCATCCCCCACCCCCCGTGCATGAATTTCATGCACCGGGCCTCTAGTTAGTACATAAAGAGCTTTGTTTTATAGCTACATGGTATTCCATTATGCACATACATCATAATTTATGGAGTCAGTCCCCCATGATGGAAAGTTTAAGTCATTTCAAGACTTGTGCTATTGCAAACAGTGCACAATGATTAAGAACTTAGGTCATTTGGCACATGCATGAGTTTATCTGCAGGATAAATTCCTGGAAATGGAAATGTTGGAACAAGGACATGTGAATTGAAAATTTTGATAGATATTGCCAAGTTGTCCTCCATCAAAGGGGTGTCAGTTCACTCTCCCAGCGCCAAAGTATGAGAGTGCTCTTTCTATACTGGCACTAAACTGGTTGTTACCCAATCCTCCACGCCCCTCCCTTTTTTATTTATTTATTTTTTAATCTTTACCAATCTGATTGAGCATCTTTTCATAATCATTTATATTTCCTTTTTTGTGAACTATTGTTTCTGTTCTTTATCTAGTTTTCTGTTGGATTGTTGGTATTTTTCTTAAGGATATGTAGGGACTCTAGTAGATAGAAAATTTAGCCTTTTGAATTACAATGCTTTTCCCAGTTTCTTGGTAGTGTTTAACTTTGTTTATGGTAGTTTTGTCATATAAAATTTTTATTTTTATATAGTAGTGGTAAGCAATTTCTCACTTTCTGGCTTCTGGGCTTTATATAATAGTTCAGAAAAAGCTTCATCTAAGTTTACAGAGGAATTTTCTTACAGTTTCTTTTAGTTTTTTTGTTTTTACATTTTTTACATTTAAATATTTATATTTTCTTCTTAGTATGAAATATGAGATATGGATCCAACTTTATTTCTTTTAGATGTCTTCTGGTTATCCTAAAATAATTTAGTGAATAATTCATCTTTTTCCTCTCTTCTGTGAGATGACATCTTTATTATATATCAAATTCCTGTACTTGGACTGATTTCCACACTATTTATTATATTTTATTGAGTTGTCTGTTATGTGTCAGTACCACACTGTTTTAATTATATATATATATATAATTTAATATATATATAATTTAATATATACATAATTTAATTATATATATAATTATATATATAATTATATATATATATATATCTGTGTATTATACTATCAGGTAGAAAGAGTATTCCACTAGTGATCTTCTCTTTTAAATATTGTCTGGCTCTTCTTGCTTCTATGTTCTATCTGAATTTAGCATCAGTTTATCTATGTTTTGTTTCCCACACACAAAAAAAAAAATCCTCCAAGTGCTTTTATGGATTGAGTTAAGTTCACAAACTAACTTAAAAGAATTTACAACCTTATGCTATGAATTCACTTATTTTTATTTGTTCATATCTTTTACTGTGATTCTCAAGGGCATTCTAAACTTCATGTCAAATAGCTTTTGGATAGTTGTTGTTAAGTTTATTATTAGACTAGAGGCCTGATGCACGGAATTCATGCAAGGGGCCCAGACCTCGCAGCTCCAGCCAGCCCTCACTGCCCTTGCTTTATCCAGAAGGTTCTCTGGAAGGTCTTCCAGATGGCCGTTCTGCTGTTAGGTCTAATTAGCATATTATCTCTTTATTATATAGGATATTTAGATATTAATGTTTAGTTTTTGTTGCTATTGTAAATAAAATATTTCCATTTTATCTTGCTATTCTTGGTTATGTATATATAAATTATTGATTTTTGTATAGTTGTTTTTTACCCATCCATTTTCTTGAATTATCTTTGCTTTTAGAAATCTTACAGTGAGTTCTGGGCCCTCCCCAAAATATACAATTATAGTATGTGCAAATAATGATCATTTTATTGCTTGTTTTAGAAGTTCTGTACCTCTAAGTTATTTTGTTTCCTTAGTTTATTTGGTTCCCCAAATCTCCAGAAACAATATTAAATAAAAAAGCGTGATGATGGCCCAGCCAGTGTGGCTCAGTGGCTGAGCATTGTCCCATGAACCAGTATGTCACAATTCGATTCCTAGTCAGTTATATGCCCAGGTTGTGGGCTCAAACCCCAGTAGGGGGTATGCTGGAGACAGCCGATTGATGATTATTTCTCACCATTGATGTTTCTATCTCTCTCCCTTTCTCTGAAATGAATAAAAACATATATATTTTTTTTAAAAAAATAGTGATAATGGTTTCCTTATTACATTCCTTATTACATTAATGAGAAGACATCTCATTAATGAAAATAATGTTTTCCCATTTAAGCATTATTCTGGCTCCTGGATTGACCCAGATATATTTAATCATTGCAAGGAAATAACTAACTAATTATATTGTATTAAAAGTACAGTTGACCCTTGAATAATGTTTGAACTGAATAGATTCAGTTATATGCAGATTTTTTGTTAATTGACCCAAGGAGTTCAAACCCGTGTTGTTTAAGAGTCAACTGGTGAATGGTAATTCAAATATTTGGAGGACCTACTTAAGTTATGTGCCAAATTTCCACAGCTTAGGGAGGTGGTGGATGCCCCTAACAGAGTCAATGCTAGTTTTCATCTCAAATGGATGTTGAATTTTAGCAAATATTATTTTAGTACCTTTTAAGATGATTGTGTACATTTGTTCTTTCTAGTTGGATTACTATGAATGATATAATACATTAAATTGCTGAAACAAATACCACTTGGTCATGATGTTTTATTATTTTAATATATCTTTGTTCTATTTCCTGATGTTTTATCAAATTCATAGATATGATTAGCCTTTAGTTCATACCTATATAATTTCTGTATATGCTGATTATAATAAGTTGGGGTAAATGTGTTTTCCTGAGTTAGTAATTGACAGCCACATTTGTTAATATTCACCAGGAAATCATGCCACTTTTTTTGCTTGGAACAGAATGGGAATATAGAGA